AAAGAAAACTAGTGTCACTCGTTTTTGTTTTGCGAACAATGGTAGGGGAAAATTTTAGTGGGCAAACGGAAAATCGTCGTGTGTCGTGGGTGGCGTACGTGAGCACCGAGAAACTCGATCTATCGGTGAAAAGGATAAAAACGAACGAAATCCCGAGGTGTGAACAATCGACGAAATGCATGGTGCGACGCGCTTAAAGGTGCTGCGTCAAAATAACGGAGATCTTATTTTTATTCGAAACATATCCCGGACGATACATCGGCCGCTGACATTTAATGACTGTCGATATAATTGACGTTTCTCGTTTATTAATAAAACAAATATATTTGAAAATATTAACGTGATACAAAAGATAATCGGTGACAATTTGAGATCGTTTTATGATTGTACTTTAATTAAAATTAGAGAGCAAAATTAAAGCCTTTTTCCATCGGAAAATAGATGGACGATTTATTAATTAGTTGCTAACGTATTAAAATATTTCGAGAGGGAATTTATTTATCGAGTTTTTAAATAATATTGACGAAGCGTTGATTAAACGGCAATTAAAAAATTCATAGAATGGAATAAATCTGTAATTTTTTATAAGCTTCACTTTATGTGTGACTTTCTTTTCATTTACAATTCATAGACTCAAATTCTAGACTCACTCTGCTCTCGCTATTAACGTTCTAATTGCTATTGTAATATTGGGACGTTTGTCGAACAATAGCCTTTTGGGAGCAACTTTAAATAAAGAAAGTGAATGTTAAGTTTAATTCACGATGTTACGTAGACTAAAACACCTTCGGCGAATTCTGAGAGGTTTCCTACGAGCGTACCAGCTTTAACTTCGGCCAGTCTATGCAGCTCGACTATATACGTGCTTGCCTGACCGCTTTGTCGCCTCCACAGGCACTGGCTAAACCCGCAAGTTTAATTCAACGCAGCTCAAACCCGATAAAGCGTAGATAACTGTGAGATAATTTTCGCATATGTTTTACCTATCGACTATTCTCGCAGAGTTTCGAGTTAATTAAAATTTTTTCTCCGTTCTTTTTCCAAGATAAGACGGAAAAAGAATAGATTGAGTTTAATTAGTATTTATTGGACAAACTGTGCGCTAATAAAACGAAATTGAAAGCAGAGAAAATGAAAAACCGAGGAACGAGAGATCTCTTTAAAGTTTTCGCGTACGCATACTTCAGCTTTAACTTCAGTTCTGACTTCAGCTTTGACTGCCGCTTAGATGGACTGACCGAGTTTGCACCGAACAAATGTGTATAATACCCATATTAATGTATATATTATACTTGATATCATTTTTATGGAAATCTATTAACAAAATACAAAGTAATTTTTTCACTGTGGTTAACTCCGCCGTCGTTTGGCATCGCCGCCAGATCTTCTCTTTTCAGTTTCGTTTGTTGCACTTGCACGTACACAAAATACACGTGGAACGATTAATTACGATCGCGTGTACGAATTACTAGATAAAATAGCCGGATAAAATGACGTAGATTAAAATTCCAAATTTTATTCGGCCTCAGCTGGCCACATTTGTTAATTTATCGGTCAATGCAGAAAATTTACTGCGAAAAATATTACCTCAGCCAGGGTTTGAACCTGGACCTCCCTACACTCTAGGCGGGCGTCTCACCAATTGGACCACCGAGCCATATGATAATATTTGTCGCAATAACAGTATAAAGATGTTGTCTACGCGTCTATTTTTCGACTTTAAATAAATTTTGACCGATAGCCTCGGATCCGATTGGTTGAATTGCGATCCGCGATCCGCAATCTCAATCCGATCTGCGATCCGCAATACGTAGTGTGACACGGGCTCTAGGCTAGTATCGCATTTGTT